AATTTACAGAGAATTTAAGAAGATGGCCCAACAGTGAAAAACTAACAGCTTGAGAGAACAGAGCTCAGAGAATAGGTGATTGTAAAAAAAAGTAAATCTTCTTGTACATAAGAAAACATCACATCCATAAAGGCCAAACCAGTCGAGGAGTGGGGACTTAGTCAATAAATGGCTAATCAGGCTGCTGATAGCCCCAAAGGATGAAGAGCTGTCACTGTGGTACAAAAACTGGGACAGAAGTTGGAGCCCAAGACAGAAAGCAGCCTCGCTGGGGCCACCGGAATAGGACAGCAAAGAGAATGAAGGGGAGGAGAGGGAGCTTTTACCAAGAAGATGACGACATTGAGAAGCTGAAGAAAAATGCACATTATCCTTCACATACGAAGGGCGTACCAAGAGCCAGAACAGAAGTGAACGTAACAAGGGATGAGAGGAAAACTTGTGCTCTTGGTAAACAGACTTGTGTGCCTTTCTTGTTGAAAGGATAAACCCCAGGCTCCTTCGAGCCTCAGATAAGGAGGCGGCAGCTGTCTGGCATCAGACACTCCGGCTCACAGCCTCTGTCCTTGCCTGTTCATGCTCATCCTTCGATAGGTAACCTTACAGGAGGGCCTAATGACGTTAGTCCTGGCCACTTGAAAATGGAAGTCCGTGGAGAGCCTTGAAGAGGTTGAGGGATGAGGGAAGGATGGGTAAGCGTCGGGTTCCTTCTTAATCCCGTCCACAGAGACAGGGCGATCGGGGGACTCAGAGGTGTTGTCTTCCTTTGGACCCCCTGTTGGTGGAGGCTGGAAGCTGGGGAGTCGTGGACTGGCCCCAGGGTACCATTTGCTCCTGAACCCCGTGTCTTCTCTCAGCCCTGGGCATAGTTGCTGACTGTGATGGAATCAGGAATCTCTGAGAAAGCCTGGAATTGTGCTGTACATCGTAGACGTCCTTGACCCCTGACGTGTCGGGACACATGGAAAAGGACAGGAGACCCAGGAGACACGGCCTCATGCCGTGAGAGACGCCCACTCTTGACCTACGGAGGCTGGGCTGCCCTTGAGCCTTTTGATGGAGTTGAGGTGGATTCGGCCCAATGTGTTATCCTGCCTATCGTTAACATGAGACGTTGTGTCTGGGAATGAGGAGGTGGTTAGTGGTGTTCCCCTTTGCCATAGTTGGGTGTTTAGTTTATCCTTGGGAAATAGGACATGTCTTTGGTTAAGAGACACTCGAGGTCCCCAGAATGAGACGCTGTGAAAGCGATTCCAGTGGGACTAACAGGAGTGAGACGAGGCTCAGCTGCTCCCGGCTTCTCGGCTTGATGACAGTCTCGCAGGAAATAATCAGAAACTGGGTGAAATGATAGGAAATGTCAGTTTAAAGTTTTCACTTGTCAGAATGAAGATTGTCTTATCACCAAACCGTGGCTGGGCCAGATTATGCCACCTTTTATCCTGTTCATTGGAGAACATCCTTCACCCCGATTTTTTTAGGCTGAACTCTGTTGGAGCACTTCACAGACACACTCTCCATCTGTGCCGATGTTCATTACTGCTCAGTTCATTTAATGAAGGGGACTTAGTTTGGTCACAAAGCAACCGTTCGACACATTTTTTGGTGACTCGGTACCTGTCATTTATACTTCCACATTAAATAATGGGGACCTGTCTCAGGAAAGGAAACTATTTTGAGCTTAATGAAGGGGTTACTCTCTCATTTTATCTGTGCAACAAAGATAAAATTCTCAAGCATAGCAGCGTTTTATTTGTCTAAGGGGCCCTCATGATGTACCTTCTGGCCTTTGAAAAGAAAGCTGAGGTTCACTTGATTTAGCGCTGAGTTTCTAAGGAGAATTAGCCAGTTTATTTTCAACAAAATAAGAAGAAGCTATGCATGAGCCCTGGAGAATGTCAGCGCCCCCCGGGGGTCCAGGCAGCATCTGGCCCGGCCTGGGGATGAAACCCCGAGGCTCGGGAAACAGGACGCCTTTTCCGAGGTCCCCCAGCACGTGGCACCACGTTTAGACCCAGATGCCTTGACCAGTATCTGACACGGATGTTTTGTCAAAAGGTTTGTCTCTAAATTCCTGTCCTCAAGATGAGAAAAATATTTGACTTTGATAGCATTTCTCAGATTTAAGGCTACAAAGTCTTAAGAAGTAGGGAAGCCATATTGTTTCTTTTGTTGTTTTGTTGCTTTTTTCTCCCCCGCCCCCGGATGTTTTTCTGTTCTTGGATAGGAAACTGTCCCCTCTTTTTTCAGCAGGTCCCTCTTGTCTCCTCCCCATCGATGTAGATTGTGTTTGAGAGAAGTTAGAGGACTGCAGGCAGGGCGGGCGGGGAGGAATCGGAGACAGCACTGCGGCGGCATCGCACTGCGTGAACACACGGCAGTGAGTTCTGTGGGGGCCCCGGCTTGTGTTTCTGAGCGGGGGATATGTAAGCCAGGGGGGAGCTCAGGGCATTCAGGAAGAGTGAGCTGCAGAGCAGGTCGGAGTGCGGCAAGAAGTGCCCGGGTGAGGTGGCTGCCAGCATGTGGCAGCGGTCGGTGGAGTCCTGAGCTCTGAGTGTAGATGCTGCCGCTGGTGGGAGGGGTTAGGAGGGAGTGGCCCCGGTGACCGGCCCCATGGCTCACCCCGCGGAGCCTCCGCAGCCCCATCTGTACAGCTGAGATTTTATGCAGAGTGAGTGAGAGGCGGCCATGGCGAAGCTGTTCACACGGCAGGCTCCCTCCCCACGCGCGTTCCTCTCCAGCTCCCTGCTCTCACACTGTCGCTACCCGCGGCTCCTTGGGAGCATGCGCCTGGCCCCATGGTATGACAGGTCAGTGGTGGGGGTGGCTGTCCCGTGCCTGGGCAGCGTTTACCGCGGCTGGGGGAGCCTCACAGCGCAGCGCGGGGCCCCTGTTTCACCCCCATGCCAGGAGGCTCCATGAGAGCAGCGTGCCACGCCGCAGCCAGTGGGCGTGCGGGGCCCTGAGTGAGCCAGGATCGCAAGATGTGGCCTGTATCTGGCACAGAACGGCAGCACTTCCGACCGAGGAGTCAGGCATCTTATCAGTGCTTATTAACTCTGTTTGGTGCAAGTACTTGGCGACTCTCACGTTTTCCCACCTGTCTGCTGCACCTGCGCCTTGTGTTCCCTGCCTGGAGGGTCCCTGAGGCCCTGTGTCGGCTCTCTGTTCCTTGTCCTCACCCCCACTTGGCTCCCCATCCCCCCACGGCATCATTTGGAACAGTGTTGAAGCCCCACGTCCTCCCAGACGCCCATGTGCCGCCCCCGCTGATGCACGGCCCCTTCTCTAGGGACCCAGTGGCTCCGTTCGTGGAGAGCGAGGGTCTGTCTGTTCAGGGCGGGAGAGGGATCGCGGGATGGGATACAGCGATCGTGTGCAGCGGCGGGGCCCCGAGAGATAGGGGAGCTGCTCTGAGCAGAACACTGGGCAGGTGGTGGCTCGGAGGGGGACGGACGAAGAGCGTCTCAGGCAGAAGGGGTGGGTGTGACGAGCCAGCCCCCCACGCTGGAGGACAAGAGGAACAGAGCCCCTTGCTTCCCTCCTCCTCACAGCAGGAGTCCTTCCGTGCTTGGTCACTGCATCCAGGGGTCGGTCTGCTGTCACTTGCCTGAGAGGATACGTGGGGGCCAACCAGGTGTGGGTGGGACCTGCAAGGGCGGCCTGAGGCCATCGCCTGTGAGGTTGTAGCCGGGGGTGTCCAGCCTTTTGGTGCCCCTGGGCCACACATTAAATATACAAACACTGACGAAGGCTGATGAGCGGAAAAAAGGTTTTAGGTACATTTACGGTTTTGTGTTGGGCCACATTCACACCTGCCCATTCACATGCAGCCTGCAGGTTGTGGGTTGGACACCGTGAAGGCGGTCGTCCTGGCGCTTCTGGCCCGCATTGTCCCCCCCGGAAAGCGGGTAGGGCAGCTCTACCTAGGCAGACTGCCGGACGCCTGGCCGGCTCTCAGTCGCTCCCACACAGCCACGCTCCCGGCACGGGTCTTGCCATGCACACCAGCGCCGGATCTCTCTCCGTCCTGATGACAGCTTCCTCCTTGATTGCATGAAGCTGGGATCCTGAGAAAGCTTATTTCCGTGGCGGCCCACGGTCACAGGCAGCCCTGTGCAGGAAGGCCGGCGGAAAGGGGCAGCCTGAGAGGGTGAGAGCCAGCTGCTCCCCAGACCCGCAGAGCCGCAGAGCGTCGTCAACCGATTCTGTCTGCCGTGGCTCCGGAACCGAGATCCGCCACAGACTTGCTCCTTCAGGATGTCATGCCTAATTCAAACACGTTGTGTGTGTGCATGTGTGGCCTGTTTTACATTGTCTGCAGAGCGGCCGTGGTGACAGGCCCTCTCCGGTCCCTCGGGGGTGCCTCCGCTTGCTCCCCGTCACACGGCGCCGCCGAGGCTGGGGCCAGGCCCTTCCTGGTGGCCGTGACCGGGTGCTGGGAGATGAAACGTCTCAGCTCCGTACGTGCTGCTGTGTTATCAAGTGACATCCCCACAGCTTACACAGCACAGAGTTTATGGTAGATGAGGATTAAAGAGGAAATAAAGTCCCCGCCCTCCGCACACGTTCTGCCAGCAGGAAAGGAGCCGCTGCCGCCTCCCTCCTCCGCGCCGCCAGCCCCCAGAACGCGCCTGGCCGTGGCTGTCGGCACGGGAGCCGCATTTGTCCACTGCGCATCCAGCCTCTGCCCCCTCCTGGGGCGGACATGCCGTCATATAACCCCGGGCGCCACCGGCCCCTACCTGTGCCGATTGACCAGCGCTATGGTTAAGGGGTCGCTGCATTGATCGTGTACTAAAGCTGGGGGCTTTTGACAACCCTAAGGCCTCTGTTAGCGCTCGGCCTGCCCGGTAGGAGTGTCTGTCAGTTCACGGCGCGGCCCTTCACTCGCTGTCTCTTGAGTTTTAGAATGTTTCATTGGAAGTGACTTAAACTCCCAGCCGCACGATTTGCCCTGTGTTCTCACCCTTTCCCTGTGTGTGTCTGTCTGTTTCTAGCAGCGGTGCCAATTACTACGATTACGGGCATGGACTCAGCGACGAGACGTACGATTCCTACGGTGAGTGCGCGGCCAGCGGGACCCGAGCTGGAGGGGGTGCTCGCGGAGACGCCTGCGGGGGCCGTGGGAGGGGGGCACTCACAGGCGCACGTAGACTGTGACGCCTCAGCTTCTCCTGGTCGCCTGTGCCTCGCTGGCCATTTTCCAGAAGCTCCTTTGAGATTTGAAATTTAGAGGACCAAAGACGTGCAGAAAATTGCAGGAATTCAGATTCTGAACTTAGGTTTTCTGTTTGGGTTGATTGCCAGCCACGTGCTGATTACTTTCATTTGTAGACTAGTCTGCAGCCCCTGGATAATGTGGGTCTTTCTGAAGTGTCTTTGCTCCTTGACAGTAAAGGGAAATGAAACAATTGAGAGCACGGTTCTGAAGCGATTCCTCCGCCATCTTTACACTTCAAACCACCCCCATCTCAAACCCTCTAAGACCACTCCGGAGGGAGTCCTCCCGTAAAGGCTAACAAGCCCCGCGCGAGGGCAGAGATGGGAGCTCTGCCCGGCTCGCGGGGAGACAGCCCCGCCCTCCGAGTCCGGGGGCACCCCTGCCCGGAGCTTCCACATGCAGGAGGGTGACCGGTGTAGTTAAGAGAATTGGCAGCAGCCACATAATGACAGGAAGAAGCTCCTTTGCCGCAGGGCGAGGAGATCAGAGAACATGGAGCCTCAGTCGGCTGCCACGCGCTGATGAATACCTGGGACGCGTGCGAGGGACGGACGCGGGATGCTGGTTAATGGGTGTTACGACATTTCCCTGAACATCCCTGGGCAGCCATTGCCAGGTGCTCCCTGCGAAGTGCGTTTTGTTCTGTCGGCAGCCCCAGGGCGTGACGCTCGCACCTTGGATTATTTACTTATTTATTTAGTATTCAAAGCAAACACTTAGGAGACACACATTGGTTTGTTGAATGCTGTGCTCTTAAACGAATGCACGTTAGCTTGAGGGCATGTCGCTGATTGCATGTTCGTGTCAAAAGAAGAGGTCATGTGAAGCATTTTTCCTTCGCAGCTTTTTAAAATGGGCCTCTGTGGACACACGACTTCCCAGTTGCTGTGCGTTGCAGCCGGGTGTTGACTGCTTGTGGTTGAAGCCCTCGCATCCCTTGGAGGTCGGGAGGCTGAACCAGTGTTTGGTTTCAGGACATAAAGGTGGCGGGTGCCCTGGGTGATGAATGCCCCTGTCCAGGGTGGACTTAGCAGTAGGAGTGAGACGTGGCGTCTGCGCTAAGTTTCTCTCACATTCGTGAAGTGTTACTGAGGTAGAAGTCCCCGCCCAGCTCAGCTCTCGGTCCTTCCCCGGCAGGCCCCACGGGGAGCCACGCGGGGAGCCACGCGGCAGGCAGCCCTCCGCCCTGGTCTGCCCCTGCCCACCTGGCTCTCCCATGTCTCCGGCCTTCACAAATCCCGACCTGTGTTTTCTTTGTTAGAAGAAATCTAAGCGATCCCTTTCTTCCTCCTCTATGTCTTCATGTTTAGCAAAAGTCAGTTCAGTTTGCTACTGGAGTTGTGAGCTTTTGTTAAACGAATGGCCCAAAGGGAAGTTCTCGCATGGTTGCTTGCCATTTAAGATAGAAAAGTCATTTTTCTTCCCACACTGATAGGTTCCTCTAATGAGAGGAGCATTTTCCACTATGTTTGTAATTTTTTAAAGTGAATCCCCTTGGGTTTTTCTCAGTGCATCAGTGTGACGCCGACAACAGGTTCGGGGCTTAGTTCCGCTCTGCAGAATGACGCCGGTGGGACCCATGGCTGGGATCTAACTGTGATTCCTCTCACTGATTGTAGGGCAAGAGGAGTGGACCAACTCGCGACACAAGGCACCTGCAGCGAGGACGGCGAAGGGCGTCTACAGAGACCAGCCATATGGCCGATACTGATTGTACTCTCTGATGTTGTGACATAGCCAATCTCCACCAGTCCTGTATACTGTTCAAAGTAATTTTTTCTATGAACAATCCCTTTTTAAATAAATCCAAATGCTTAAAATCTGAATGGATGGAGCTTAAAACTACTTTGTGGAAACATCAACCTGAGCAGAAAGAAAAAGAAAAAAAAAAGAGACATGCAAAATTTTGTTATTTCCCGTCTGTATATGAAAAAAAATAGGTCATCAAAAGGAAAAAAATAACTTTGATTAACTAGTGTTAAACAAAAAAATAGGTTTACTAAATATGTTAATCCATCCTTTAACATAAGCCTCACCTTTCATTTTAAAGGTTTCCATAGAGTTTAGTTATTTTATCTTTCAGACATATGCCAGTTTTTTTCTCTTGCCAACATGCGTAAAAAGGGAAGCCAATTACAAGTGCAAATAATGTGGTATTCTTTTGTAATTCAAGTCTTGAAATGTTCTGTAGTGTTAAGCAAAGTTTCCTCTTGCTTGATACTAAATAAACTTTTGAAAGAAATTTCGTGTGTGTGAGCTAACAATTTCATTTTTTTTCTTACTTAAAAAGGCCTTCATAAATAGTTGTAAACAGGGAAAGAATCTAATGACGCTTGTCATAAAAGGGTCACACTAAACATTGTACAACTTATTTTAAAAATGGTATAAAAATAAATGTACCATTATATACTCACCGTAGATTTAAATGCTGTTTAAAGAGTCCAAATGGTATCAAAACCAAATCTTGTTTAAAACTGGTTTTAAAATAACTACTGATTTTCTGGAAAAGATGTGATCAGTTTTCATCTTGTTGAGCGTTTTTTCACTAGTGCAACTTTGGATTTTTTATGAGAATTTTGGTGCCTTAATGAACACCCCACTCCCTGCTGGAAGCAGTAAGCACAAAGCTTTTAAAGACATTCTGACTTGACTAATTGAGGTCGCACTCGCCAAGGCTGTGAGGATGTGTAACCCTTAAACGGTCTTCATTTCCAAAGGTAAATAAATCCAATAAGATTTTAATCTCACTTAATTTATCTTAATATAACTACTAAAACCAGGAAGGTGACAAATGAGCAAGTTTCATTATCCATTTTAGAAAGGTTTTAAGATCACCTAAATTCTCATTTTAAAAAGTTTAATTGGTTTTAGTAATCTAAAAAGCCTTAGTTTAGCCAGTTTAATTGGGGCCAATTATTCCCTATTAAACAAATGTAAAACCTCATAACTAGTTGTTTGTAATACGTTATTTGGTTAGTCTTTGAGGGCACTTCTTAAAACGGACAAATATTTAATAAAGTTATTCTTTAATCATTTGGCTTAAGTTTTTTTAAATGGTAGCTTAAATGTTTAATTGTTTTAAATGGTAGCTTAAATGTTTAATTAATTTTTTATTTCTGGAGGGCTTTCCTTCTCTTTGAGTAAAAAGGTTTTTTCTTTTGTTAGGAAACACCTGCTGTCTCGCAAAGTCGAAGGAACAGGTTGAGGCCCGGAGCCATCCCAGGTAAGGGCCTTTGGTTCCGATTATTTTGATGTGTCATGGAAGATGGAGGCAGTTCCATGCTTCCCAGAAGTCGCAGGGAAAATGTCCCGTGCTGGTCCCTATTACCAGCACCCAGCGATGATGGCAGGTTAGCTCCTCCAGCCAGAAAAGAGGCTTCTTGAATGGGAACAAGGCAGATGGTTCAGGTTTGTCTGTGGGGACTCAGGCCACCACCAAGCTGACTCCATCGCTTTCTCAATAAGAACGTAACAGCCTAGTAATAGCACGACAAAGCTTTGCAAATGATGAAGTGAAAGAGTAAATGACGGGACTCTTGTAATAGGATCCCAGCTGGGTTTTTTAAAAACTGACTGTGTATACTCCATATATTCGTAGGCAAGAAATGACACAGGTAGGCTAGAAACTCCTTTCAGTAATTATCTTAGGCTTTTGTGGAAGTATGATGTGTGTGTGTGTGTGTGAGATTTTCTGTCCTTTGAGATTTGCCAAACCATTCCTTTTTATAGGACTATTATAAAATGTGTTTTATGAAATCATTTTATAAATTTTTAAAAATACCGCGTTATCTATGGAGGGAAGGGACCATTTACCTGGTCTCGAGACTCAGGCAGCTTTGACAGTCAGAAACGCTGCTGAGGCCCTGACATCGCAGAGTCTCCTTTAAAGCGTTTGTATTTGAGCTCCGCCCTTACTGTGGGGCTTCGGGCCAGTCTCACGTAGCTGTTACAAGAATGGAGTGAGAGAATGTTGCCAGTGTGTTCTATAGCCTGGAAAGTGATGCTACAGTGGGAACTGGAATTGTCCCGATTGAATATATATACTTATTACGGATGCCAAACAGGAATTTTTTTTTTTCACAATAGCCAAAATTAATCTGAAACATTTCAACTGCCTTTAGGAACAAAATTGTTTTCTTCACTCTCAAAGACCAAAATAAGTTTTTTTTTTGTTTTTTGGGTTTTTGTTTTTTGTTTTTTGTTTTTTGTTTGTTTGTTTGTTTGTTTTTGCTTTTCTAGCACAAAAAGGGAATGTGACATGTTTTCTCAGTGTGCAATATCGCATTGAAATTTTTCACTATTTTCTTTCTTTAATAATTGTCTTAGGAATTGACTTACTGAATAATGTTATGTGCAGGTTTCTTAAATCAGAAATTATGGAACATCCCTAGAGGGTCAGCGCCCAGGTGGTCTTCGAGCTAATTCCTAGGAATTGTGCAATTTTAGGTTTCCATTAACTTCTTTAAAGCCTCCATAGCTCCGTGGGACTAGAAAGATGGGCTGTGAGCCAGCAAGGTCAGGAACCCCCAGGGACCCTGTGGGACAGGCGTGCCCCTGCCTGGCTCTCGGGGGCTCGCCTCCGCGCCCAGCCCCGTACCGAGCCCTGCGCACTCCTGTTCCAGCAGGAGGACTCCGCCCCAGACTAGGCGCCTTCCTCTCTCCCTCGGAGCGTGCTGCTCTGTTCCCGGATCTCTTCACCTTCGTCTGCCCGCTTGGAATGCGCTGTGTTCTCATAAGATAACATTTACCAAGCGCGAGGTCCACACTAGCCGCAAAAGGGGCCAGTAAGAAGACACAGGTCTAGAAGGTGTGTACCTGACATTGCAGCATCTGAACATCTGACGCAGCAGCACCACACTGACACACCAGTACTCGCCACTCCCGCTACCTTGCCCATCACCGGGACCTGGGCCTGTCCCGTGACGCCTCCGCCAGGTGACCCGGGCCGCGGCCCGCGGCCCTCTCCGAAGCGGCATGCTTAGTTTACACTTCTTCCTTTTAGGGTTGAGATTGCATGACTTACACCAGTTTCAAGTTGTCATTACAACCAGGCACGTGCTCATCACTTTTCGTAAATGATTTCACCGAGTCCCCCCAGCTCTGAGCAGGTAAGTGTCACCTCTGTTTACAAAGGACGACACTTACGCTTCAAGAGGTGTGGTCACTTAGGTGAACTCCCACACCTCGCAGCTTGTAGGCCCGCCTTCCAACCACCCACTTTAACCCAAGCCTTGGGTCCCGGCCCTGAGGATGCCCTGTTGGTTCTCTGGCCTGACCCTTCCTCCGCGTTAAATTAAAGGCTCCTTAGGAGCAGGGCGAGTTTTTGTGACCTTGTATCCCTATGACTGACCCCACAGCCCTGAGCACAGGCAGGCACTCTGCCAGCCCCCACCTCCTCCCCCGCCCCCATCCCTTCCTGAAGAGCATCCTTGTATTTAGGTTCTGAAGATAATAGTCTAATTAACCACATATAAGTGCCACTTCGTAGAGTATATGTGATGAATATAAATAAGTTTGCTGTTTTTGTGCAAATAATACCTACTATTTATGTTGATCAGGGTCTTACAGGGATAGAAAGAGGAAATTCCATCATTATATTTGAAGTGTTAAACATCCACTTTATGCTTGATGTCTTCGTCTTTGAGAGAGGTTGTAGAACGTTTGAAAATCTGCATTCCAGCCTCCCTTATCTAACGGAAAACCCTATCCAAAGGCAGTGGATTCTGAACGGAATCCTATTTCAAAAATCTCAGTGATCTCATTCAGAGATTAGCACCCAGTGCCAAAACTGCTTTTCAGATCTTAGTATGACGAGTGCTCCGCCCCCCGGCCACCTGCCCTGCTCGGGCCTCACTGCTGGGTGCCCCGGTGCTGCCTTCCTGTTGGGGCCACTTCTGCCCGACAGCACGCTTCCGCACCCCTCCCGCCAGCTCTAGGGAAAGCCGGCCTGTTACTTACTGTGCTGCCCAACTTTGAAGTGGAAGGAGGCATCGTCTCCCAAGGGACCATCCCCGGCCCCCCGTCCGCACCGTTGGCCAGGGCTGCGGCCCAGCTCTCTGAACTCTGGAGCCTGATGCCCCATGATGGGCTGTTCACTCCCCACACCACCAGCCCCACCAGCCCCACCAGGACACAGACTTCGTCAGTGCAGGTGCCAGGCTGATGCCCGCAACCCATGAGCCAGGCGCATGGTGTCCGGTAGTTAGCGCAGAAAGCGGGTGAGGGCAAGATAAGAATCAGTCTTGCACTGGAAGAGGATTAAACAGGTTATTAAACGTAGTTGTGCGTGCGCGCACATACACACACTCATTTGACCCCCACTGCCAGCCTCGCCCATGCCTGCCTTCTCCGCGAGGCTGGTGCTCTGCTCCGCTTGTTGATGTGGTTGCCATTCTCACCGCCTGCAAGACTTCAGGTCCCTAAAAGACAGAACCAGGTCTCATTTGATGTGTCCCTCCAGGTCCCAGCACGGAGTAGGGACCCACAGGGGGGCTGTGAGTGAACAAGCCAGCAAATGAGTGAGCAAATGCGCCTGGAGCGCCTCACACCCTGACTGCTCCCCCACTTCTGTGGAAATAAGATACTTCTGTAACCACTGGCTTGTTCAGTGAGAAACGTGAAGCTAGGAAGCCAAGCGATGGCCTTTATTTAATAGATAATACATTTGCTAGGTACCAAGTGCAGCCAAAAGGAAGCAATGAAAAGTCGGTGTTAATGGCCGGCCCTGCCCCTCGGTACCTGGGGCAGCTGCTCGCGTGGGTTCGCGTGCGTTTTTCTAGAGGTCGCCTGTGTGTGCGCAGAGCACAGGCTGATTGTTAATAGTTTTAGTCTAATTACGATTTTCACATACAGAACAGTACACCATTTTTCATGCCCCATGTTTACCTTAGAGTATAGTTCATTGTCTCCTTTCACTATAAATCTACCTTTTTATTGGCTGAATTATATTTATATGAATGAACCGTAATTTCAGCAGCTACAGACAGACATGACAGAGTTTGCTACCAATGTTTTGCATTCATTAAAGGCAGCGCTAGAAATTAGCAAGACTCACCTGCCTGTTCTTGTACACATTCATAAAAATATGTGTAGAATAAATTTGTAAGGTAGATTTATTGAGGCATTGCATTTTAAAGAGATATTACTGTATTATTCCCCATAGAGGTAATATGTTAATAGACT